CAGGTTTTAGCAACCATTCATACACGATTAGATGGCCCCATTATGGAAGTATACTTGTCAACAACCGAAATATTAAAATCTTTACTTTCGATTTTTCACCTAATGTCCGCCTGGATGCCCACTGTGTCGAGGGTGTCACAGTATTTTCTTCGATGGCTCCTATTTATCCATCTTGAAACAAGTGTAACATTTCTATCAGCATCACTACAGCCAACAACTATTACTAGTAAATCATTCCAATTAAGTTTGAATGTAGCATCCAGTTGTAGTGACGTTGGTAATGCATCAGTTGAAACCAGTCGTCTGGTTGTAAAGAAGCTGAGTAGTTTGTTCACTAGAATTTACATAAAATCGTGGAGCGAAAACATTATGTAATGCAGTAGAATCTGGAGTTACTGACCATTGTTGATATAACGCACGAAGATTATCTGCCGAATAAATTGATGGACATGATACAAATCTATGATAACGCAATATGCTGGTCAACCAGGTTGCTGACACCGCTCAACAACATTCAGCAACATGATTCGACAACATTCACCGCTTCACAGAATTCAACATCAGTCTAGGAAGTACAAAATTAGTCTATTATAATGTCTATGCATTAGAGCTCAAAGGATTTGCTCAACGGCCAGTGGCGAATCCTGCCCGCGAGCGGTACCTTTTAACCCAAAAAACTGTTTTTCCTAGCAGATCTCTCTTAGAATAATTTGTTTCTACAACGATCCATGTATCTCGCACTTTTATAATATACCGTACGTACCAAAAACTAATTCTAGATCCGCTACTGTCAACGGCTGCCCTCCTAGAGTAGCAGTTTCAGTGTTTCAGACTAATGTTTTGTGCTAACTCGAATAATGTGATAAATAGGGTGATTAGAGGTGTAAAATTAGATAAATCAAGAAAACAAAAAAATCTGCAAACACCTGAAAAAAGTTTTATTCCTTCGTCTTATGATACTGCTTCAAATGGAAAAAAAACATGGGGCACTTGAATGTACTCTGTCGCTCTAATATTACACGCATGAATTGCTTCTGCGTTTTCACAAACAAAAAACTTTGCGATAAAACACAAGAAAAGATCATCGTTTTTCATGCATAAAATTGTACTTGTGTAGTTACCTTAAAGCTAAATACCAAAAAGCTATCGTTTTCTTGTTTATTTTTGCAGGGTAAAAGTATAGCGCAAGAAAACGCATATATTGTTTTCTGGTGTTGCGTTAGTGTGGTCAGAAAAATGCCAAAAACGCACATTTGTGCAGAAATCGTTAAAAAATTTGATATAGCTGGTGTTTATTCTGAATAAACGACCAGGCTCTTCTAAAATACTTTCCATGTTGCATAGCTGATAATGGTCGAAGAAAATTAGTTAGTGATGTTGGCCTAAAAGTCTATGTTTTATCAAGCTATTTCCAGATACTTTCCTCTATCATATTTTCTACAAATGATTGCTCTTCAATAAAATTTTACACCAGTTTTCTATTTCTAGTTCAAATAGTTTCTTCTAAAATGCCGTTAAATTTTCTTTACCTGTCACTTGCATCAAGAACGGTTATGGAAAGGAATGGTAGACTTTGAAAAAATGAAACTCCTTTGTCTTGATGCGTTCGTTTCTGCCCAACCAGCCTTTCACCACTTTTACTGAAAAAAAAACTCGAGATATCTCAGAAACGGGCGTTTGATTTCGCTTCAAACTATTATGCTAAATTTTTCTCCTAATGAGTGTTCTATGCTAAAAAAAGGAGCTTATAATTCATCGTTAAAAAGTTTAAGAAGGAAATTCATCTTTGAGGAGAGCGTTTTATAGCAATCTAACAGGTCAAATTGAAAATCGACTGTAAATGAGATAAGAACGCGAGAAAAAAAAGTCAACATAAGTGACTAATTGTCGACGAACATAAAAGAATACATGCACGATATTTGTCGTTAGCAAAAATTAGGCAAGGCATGTATAATCTGTTCCGTTTCGTTTCTTATATTTTTGATTATTTTTTCCGTTTTCTTTCTGAGAATTTTTTTCTCGTTCTATCCATCTTTTCCTGACTTTCATTATTTTTTGCGTATTCTTCTGTAACTCCATCTTATTCTTCGATTTTTCTTACAAGATAAATTAACCTTCTGTTCCTGATATATACGTGTAGCAAGAAACAACATTGATATGTAGAATATTGTTTTAAGGTCACACGTATTCATCGTAGTACTATTTTTCTGATATTTTCGCTATATATTGTACATCAGATGGTAGAGCCATGTGCTGAAATGGAAGAAAAATTTAATCATCTGAGAACAAAACACTCGAAAATGATTTACTTTTTCTTATCTTGTCTACATTTCAGATCATCGATGAAAAAATGTTTACTGCTGATCAGATCGACGATCATGTTTGGCTTGGTAATCTTGGATCATCTGAAAATTACCAGATGTTAGACATGTACAACATCTCTCACGTTCTAACCGTTCTCGACTATGAACCAACGTATACTGCCGATGATCAACGAATACGTCTTTACATACCGGCGCAAGATGTCAGTTCAACCGATCTGCTTACTCAGTTCGATCAGTGTTACCAATTTATTGACTTGGCTACGAGAAACGAGCAAAATGTTTTAATTCATTGTTATGCGGGCAGATCACGCAGTGGCACGATAGCACTGATGTATATGATGAAAAAATATAAAATGACAATGGACGAGGCTTTAGAAATATTGATAAAACAGCGACCGGACATCAGTCCGAACGAAGGATTTCAAAAGCAATTGGAACTTTTTCATTCTATGAATTATCAGTTGGATAAAAGTCATTTGAAATACCATCAATTTCAATTAGAATGTATACGATTACAGTATATTGAGCGATATGGTATTAAAAATAAAAACGAATTGAAAGATAAACTTTGTCATCTACTTTCAGTTGTCGTCGTAGATCCACTCGCTTTGAAAGAACAACCTACAGTAGAATTTCATTGTAAACAATGTCATAGAAAATTATTCACTAATCTTGATGTGTTAACAGAACACCAACATTCAGTTGAACAACCAGACTATTTGAATATTGATTATCTAGTGTGGATTGTCGACTCATTCGGTCCATATTGTCATGGTGATATTAAGTGCCCTGACTGCCAAGTAAAAGTGGGAATGTATGCCATGCAAGGAAAACAATGTTTCAAATGCTCAAAATTTATTGTGCCCAAATTTGAAATTTCAACAAGAAATATTGAGCAAGTAGTGCTGTGACATATCCATTGAGTCGGAAAAAATTTTCTGCAAGATGTAGGTATCGATATTCCAGACGCATTGTGTTCAGTGGGACCGTTACAGACATCTTTTTTTCACTTTGTCTCATCTGTGCCAGTTGCACATGTTAGTGGAACAAATGCTGATTATTTTATTTTTCAATCTGCTAACTATATACAGAAAGAATAGTTTCATAGCTTTTTTGAATAACGTTTGAAGGAGACAAGACAGAAACTTGTGTTCGCTTTAGAATAGTCAACACTTTGACGCACCTTTTGATAAAACAGCCCAGATCAAATGCTTTCTCGAATGTAGTCTGTCTGAAGTAGGCCTGTGACAGTTCATAGTTCCTTGTCCTGCAGTTTCTGGATAACGAGAACGGTTTTTCAGTTTCCGTTCCTGAACTAGGAACGGTTCAGCAACTCACATGAGGAAGTGTCATGAAATCCAGATTATTAAAATCTTTTTTTTAACTCATCCGAAAACTATTCATCCAGAATACAGCACGTCGGGATGAACCATTTACCGGACATGTTGGAATCCGGGTGGCTTATTTACGGATGAATTTCCCCCGATCAACTCCGATAGTTTCTTAAAAAACATCTCATGTACGGGAAATAATTCTGGATGAAAAAAAACTTAGTTTTAAATAGAAAAAATTACTTTAGTGGAATTTGATGCATACATGGATCAGTGGCTCCCGCGACACTTGCTCTCCTGACAATTGCTCCCTTGCGACAGTTGCTTCACTGGTCGTTGCTCCCGCGACATTTGCTCCCCAACGACACTTGCTTTCCAACCACATTTGCTCCTCTATTTTTACTATTTTAACTTTTTGCCAGTTTCTATTAAGGGGGAGGTCTCCCCCATTTAGATTTTCCTATAACGTTCCCAGTTTGTACAAGTTAATGTTCTCTATCGAACTACGCTAGAATCAACTTTTTATATGTAAAAATGAAGTTTTTATTGAAATTTTAAAAATAGAGCAAAAAACCCGAAAAAATCTTAAAAATTTTTTTAATCAAAAACTATAAATCCGGGAACCGAAAGCTTTGTTGCGACATATACTTCGAGATGTCCTCTACAAACTGGTGGAAAAAACGGGTGACGGGGGTATTCCCCCATTAACTATTAACTTTTCAAAAATCATTTCGGACTCTTCCACGGGAGCAGGTATTGTTGGGGAGCAAATGTCGCGGAAGCAGCGCTCAGGGAAGCAACTGTCACCAGGGAGCAATTGTCAGGGAAATAACTGTCGTGTTACCGACAAAAACGTATTTTTGTCAAAATCCTTGCCAGTCTACGGTTTATCCAGCTAACAGCCTCCATTTTTGCTCTTTTTCGAAAAGTTATTGCAATAAAGCTTCAAACTATTCTAAAATGGCCACTACAAACAGCCCAAAAAAATCGATTTTTGCGCTATCTAAAAAGCGTGTCTAAAAGAGTGAAGACGAGCTGGTAAAAATTGAACAAGTATACCAGTTTGTAGAGAATTGTTCGCTCTACAAGATGTGATAGCTTGTCAAGTTCGAAACTATTCTAATTAGTCTGTATTAATCAAAGAAAAACCAGAAAAACGGTAACGCTGTGACAAAAAACGGTCAAAAGTGTCACCGCGTTACCGTTTTTCTGGTTTTTCAGTCTTCACTGTATTGTCTGCACTGGCATTATTGGATGATGATACATCTGTAATAGATAAACTCAAACAGACATCTGTTACAAGTGGTATAGAGATAAAGGATGATATTGAACCAATTGATGATGACAATGTAGCTGCAGCGAAACGTTTAAAGGAATTAGCTGATAATGCTCATAATCGAAAAGATTTTGAAGCAATAAAACATTATACACAAGCGATTGTACTATCGGGACTTCCAGATAAAGATCGAGCCATACTTTATTATAATCGTTCGGCGACGAATTGACAATTATACGAGACAAATTCTTCAAACAGGTATCAGCATCGAACAATCAGAAAAAAAACTTCGACAAAGAATCATACAAAATGATCCGGGACAAGCGGCTGTATTTACGGGACATCAGTATCGTGACGACGGTACAGACGTTAAGCAAAAGTACGAACGCGCTGCACAGTTTTATGGAAAGGCTGCAAATCTCGATAATACCGAAGGACAGTATAATCTTGTACTATTGACTGCACGAGGTTTAGGAGTAAAAATATCTTTCCATTGCTTAAAGCTTATTAAAACAGGCCGCAGCACAATGTCCTAGCATAGAGCGGACTAATGTACCAAACGTAGAAGTGATGGAAGCCGAACACTCATTGGGATTATGCTACGAAATGGGCACCAGTATGGGCAAAAACTGCAATATAGCTAGACAATGGTACGAACGTTCAATACAACATGGAAGTTTTAATTCTGCGAATAATTTGGCTCTGATGTACTGGAATGAAAAAGGTGTAGAAAAAAATTCTGAAAAGCTCAACAATATTTCCATTTAGCTTCCGTCCGGGTGATCCTCATGCAATGCTGAACTTAGCTATTTTTTTCGCCAGAAAATTAGCTATATTTTTAGCTAAGTTCAGCATTGCACGAGGATCACCCGAACGGAAGCTAAATGGAAATATTGTTGAGCTTTTTCATAATTTTTTTCTACACCTTTTTCATTCTAGCAGCTGAAAAATTACAATTACCATGTTTTCTTGCCTATGAATCGAATAACAAATTGTTGCTAACACAAATATATAATTTTCAGTCAACAACTGATGATTCAATAACACCAACGACTACTTCAATTACGATGTCTATTAAAGCAAAATCTCGTTTGAGTGATCCATGTCAAACTGAGATTATTGAAGCTCAGCGAAAATCTAACACAATTTTTCGTTGTAGAATCAATACGGCCGTGATGTCCACAGTTAAACCACTTTTTCAGCAACAATCGCCTGAATCATTGATTGGATTGAAGCTGATCACTCTCAAAGAGATGGATCCAACCAAAGATCTTGTCTACAATGGTTACACATTGAGTTTAACTATGAATCAGGTATCTATAACCCATCAATTAGACTGGTAGTAGAAGATGATAATGGCGATGCCGAACGAATGTTTATTTATAACTTTTCACCTCATCAAAGGAGAGGCTCTTATTCAAAATGTTTATACCATTGGTAGTAAAAATCAGCATATTAAGCCCTTTTATGCATTTTGGTGGTAATGATATGAAACCTGGTATACGACTTGATGATCCACGTTCTGTTATTATGCAAAGTACATCGTCCAGAATTGTAAATATGTGTCGATATTGCGGAACGGCGAATGCTCCACATGTCTGTAGTCGATATAAACTGGTACGATATTGTTCATCAGAATGTCAGCAACTCGATTGGAAACAGTATAAGCATAAAGATATATGTCAAATATCAGAAAACTAGTTAATTAGTACAAAACTGGAATTTTTTATATATATTTTTAACTCTGAATAAATAAAAGGGTAATAGTACCTCAAGTATCGCTTAAATGAAAAACTATCAATCAGCCATAAATACCTGGCTCCTTTCACGCAGCTCATCCAGGTTTTTACATCGGATATTTCTTCTGAAGTTCAATGGAATTAAAAGGTGGAAATATAATTAAAAACACATTAGATTCGACTTAATCGTCAGAAATCCAGTATTTAACAATAATAACTTGGCTTTCGTACATAGGTCGAATTTTTCTCTTCTGATATGTGGATATCATCCGTATATATCATATCAGTTGTGCATAAGAGTATGATATTAATAAAATAAGTATGTAGAAATTCTGCACAATAAGAGAAAACATGGAAAGAGAACGATATTTTAATCTACAACCGCAGTTATTTTTGACAGATTTCCTTCGAGTTTTCAGATCATCAGGCTCTACAGCAATATAAATGAGAGCACTCGGACGAGGTATTCGATGTCTAAAACATAGCCTATTTCATTTTTCATTAGAACTAATGGCTCACGGATTGCGGTTTTCATCAAGTATTAGCGGGTATTGCTAAAAGACACGAATACCCACGAACACCTCAAATTAAAATCTGAGTTAGCCAATCATAGAGCTCGTCGAGCTGAATATAGCAACGCCTAGCAAACACATAAAAAGCTTTTTATAGTTTCACTTTTTAAGCATACACGGTCGCAGAAATGATTGGTCTTAAAGATAAACCGTCTTGTTGGGTCTTAGGTAGTCCATAAAGTCCAGCAGGTCGTACCCCGGATGGTTGGTACCTGCGCGTACACTGACAAGCGAAGAATCAAAAAGTTGAAAAAGAAGCAACTAAACTAGGTCAGAGAACATCGAGCATTAACGAAGACACGCTTTAATTTGTGATGCTATTATTTTATTTAGATACGAAAAAGTTCATACAAATATGCCTGCATATGAGAAAAATTGAAACGCGAACGAGAACGATGGAAAAGTTCTTTTTTTCTCACAGGAACTTGCGGATTCATGTTGATTTTTTCTCTACTGGATGGGTCATTTACTGTATCTGAATAAATCAAACCACATTGTAATTCTGTTACATTGGCCCCTAAGTTCTGAATCAGTATTGTTAGTTATTGAAACCAGTATTGTCAGTGGTAATGGCTTCTGAAAACAATTATTAACCTTTAAAAGCAATTATAATCTTTTTCCTTTAGAAAGCTATAATATTTGACAATAGAATTTAATTAGTATACGCAAAAACTTACTATATTGAGATATTAATCTAAGAAAAAACCTGAGAGGATTTGTGCTGATGAGGCTTCTTTCAAGAGTTATGAATATTTTACTGATTTTTAGACCTATTACAAAGTATTTACAGAAAACTCGAACGACGCAATTTCAATCTCAAATGTTGTCCGCACAAAAATCTAATGGTTCTCAGAATGCTCTGAAAATCCCAGTGGAAACAAATGCCTCCTCCTCGTGATATTGCATTGTCAAGAAACTCGATTTTTTCAGATCTTTTTGTGAAATATGAGAATTTATAAAAATTCAATATCTCGAGAAGAAAGTATTCGTTTTGACTAAATCTTTCTGGACGTTGTAAGGACTATTAGATCCACATGTACATTTGAGGTTGAAATTGCGTCGTTCAAGTTTTCTGTAAATACTTATGGAGAATCGAATGAGATTGGTTTGCACATCACCGGAAAAAAAAATAAAGTTCGTTGTGAGTTGCTGAAAGTGTTTTTTCGGATTCAGAACACTCAATAATCCAGGAGATCTTCTATTTTTGACTAGGGGTACTTCCGAAAGTTTCGAAAAATTTTCCTAAACTTCCAGAGTATCCCTCGCCAAAAATAGAAAAACTGTAGGGTTATCTGCTGTGTTGGATCCGAAAACGCGCTTTTTAGCAACTCAAAGCGAATTTTATTTTGTCCGATGATGTGTGACAATAAAAGCTATTGAGCATGCGACAGGATAACTCTCTGAGCTCATAGAACGTCTCATAATTACTTGGGAGTCGAACAAAAAGTCGTTTAAATCAATGAATAACCTACGTAATGATTTATCAGTTGACCTTGTTGGTTGAATAATAGCATTCAATGCTTCTAATAATGTTATACCATTGACATTCTCTTCTTTATGCTCGATATTCCATCCTTTAAACCATGGCATTTTATCTGACGGTTCGACCATATTATCTCCATGCCAGCTACTAATGGGAACAAATGCTACAGTACTTAAACTGTAACCGATCTTTTTGATATAACGAGATACTTCGGTTTTTATTTCCTCAAAACGAAATTCACTGTACGATGGTTCAGTCAAGAAAAAAAGAGAAAATATGTTGAGATTAGTTCAGATACTAAGCAGGGAAACGAATACCTACTATATCCATTTTATTAACGACAACGATCATCTGTTTTACACCTGACGTATAAGCTAGTAATATGTGTTCACGTGTCTGACCAGTTTTACTAATACCAGCTTCAAATTCTCCCAAAGCAGCTGCAACTACCAACACAGCACAATCAGCCTAAAACAAAGCAAAAAAAGAACGATTATAGAGCTAATTCTACAGACGAGCTGAGAAAAATCGACGCTTAGCGTTAAGACAATACTGTCGCTATTAGCTACCAACTTTTGGATAACTAGTTAAGACAAAAATCGATTCAGATCCTATCGCTCTGCTCAACAGAAAAGTTGTATCATATTTTCACATACCACAAAAGACGGCGCGGTACGTTACTCTAATATCTTGTACATAAAAATCGATTTAATATCTGTGTTACTAGAACTGTGCTTCTTATTGAATTGAGATCTTTAACGCAGTGAGCAAACATCGTGATAGAATAAAACTATTTGTGAAGCTTCTTCCATTTACTAAGAGATCGACTTTTAATGTTTTTAACAGTTACTTTACTTTCCCTTAATATAACATCAAATAGTAAAGAGTAGAGAGTAGTATTAGTTAAACAGATTGCTGTTTCAACGGATAGTGGAAGTTCGCAGCAAAACAGTGCTGTTTTCTCGTATAAAAGTAATTGCAGATTGTGCCGACAATAACTTCTTATTTTAAGCTACTCTCCTCCGCTGCATGTTGTTAATCATTGAAACTAATGTTTGTTTCGCTTTTTAACTTACTTTCGATACCGCTATCGTCATACTTTTAACATAATTTCGATATCCTGGCGCATCACTAATTGTAATGTAACACTTTTGTGTTTCGAATTTCCATGATGAAATATGGATGGTAATATCACGTTCTCGTTCAGCTTTCAACTTATCTAATATCCAGGCATATTTGTATGAACTATTTCCCATCTAAATAAACAACAGCATCAAAGATCAAAGCGTGTTTTCGTTATTGCTCGATGCTCTCTGACTTACTTCTTTGTTAAATTTTTCGATTGTTCGTTTGTCAATAACACCACACTTACAAATCAACTGTCCAATAAGTGTTGATTTTCCACAATCGACATGTCCAATAACGACAATGTTTATGGGAATCTTTTCTTCAGCCATTCTTGCTTATTCAAAGATCTTTAATTTGCATAGCAAATGACAAGATTCGGCTTTGATATAATGTACGATAAAAATGCAGTATTGTCTGTCAAGAAACAAATATTTATGTGACGAAACATGCAAGCTTGATTGTGCAATATGTTGCGTAATTACTAAGCACACATGGAGAACACGAAAGACAAAAGTTGCCGTTTCATTCTTATCCTATATTAACCCTTTACCGTCGGATGTTGCCATTTGGCAACATTCAGTTAATATTTTGAGATGGATTGGCTTATACAAAGAGTGTATTATGTTTTCACATTATGATAATTAGTACGGCACATTTTAACACAAATTAATCATTTAAAAGACAAAAAAAACTTTCACTAAAAAAAATACCTTACTTCTTCGAAATACCCCAAAGAGTCATCGAAATCTTAAAAATATTTTTTCTGTATGTTTTAATAATCAATATGAAAAAACAATTATTGATTCATTTTGGTTAGTAAAGTT